ATTTATTCCATGTCTTTGCTATTGTGAATAGTGCTGCATTGAACATACACGTACATGTGTCATTATAATAGAATAATTTATATTTCTTTGGGTATATACTCAATAACTGGATTGCTGTTTCAGGTGATCATTCTAAGTTCTTTGAGAAATTTCCAAACTCTTTTCCATAATGGCCAAACTAACTTGCACTCCCACCAACAGTGTATAAGCATTCCTTTTTTTCTGCAACCTTGCTAGCATCTGTTATTTTTTGACTTTTTAATAGTAGTCATTCTGACTGGTGTAAGATGGTATCTTACTGTGGTTTTGATTTTTATTTCTGTAATGATTAGCATTGTTGAGCTTTTTTCATATGAAAACTCAAATTTGTCATTCTATGTAATATATGAGGAGGCAGACTGTGTTGGTCAGGGTGCAATCAGGAGACAGAAACCACCTTAGCAACTTGAATAAGGAAAAGCTAATATAAAGAAATATTAACTGGTAAAGAGGGATTTAAATTAAAGAGGTAAGGAAGAAGGAATTCAATGTTACAAAAGCAGCAACCACAGAATGCAGCTACTACCTACAGAGCTGAGGGAGAGAACCAAGCAGGTACTTACACCTTTAGAAGAATCCCACACATGTACTCACACACTCATACCACCACTCATGCACTCAGACATCTCTAGAGAGGTTGTGGCTACCACTGTAACTCTGTTGGTGACAGAGAAATTTACTAAATAGAGCATGTAGGTCCCAGAGTGTATGAGCTACAGCTAGTTTTTTGGTGTGGCCCCCTGAATGGCAGAGAATCTTGCCAGAGGGTATAGGCTACCGCTGAGCAAGAGTATCAGGACCCTCACATAGCAAACTTCTAAGTGCCAGATAGAAAATAGCATGACGGAAAGTGGAGGCAAAGTCTCTTTCTCATTTTCTGGATTTGCAGTGTCCCTCCAGCCCCTTAAATTGGCAAAGTTTAACATCAAGTCAGCTGACAAAAGAGAAATGTCTACAGCATGCAGCTTTGATAATACAAGGAAAGGTAAAGAAGAATAGATTTGGAGATGAGAGGCAATAAATTAATAACTGGCATGCTGGCACTTCCCCATACTTGGTTGTTGAAACTGATACAGGTAACAACTATATAAAGTCACATATTTATATATAGAGTCACAAATCATAACATCTTGTATTATTTTTCTAAATTTAGTTATGGCATTCTGCCTTAGGATTATAAACCAAGAAATTACACTGGTGGCATTATTTATGAATTTAACTTTTTATGAAAGAATATATAGAGAAAATGTATAAATTTCAAGTGCACAACTAACTCAATGAATTTTTACAAATCTATTCACTCATGTAAACACCACCAAAGGCAAGATAGAGTTTATTAGCAGCACCCTGAAGGCCTCATTCTTGTTCCTCCCAAGAAATAATTATCAGTTTTTAAAAATGTTTCCTTGAAAATCTTGACCTGCTTCCTTACATGTTTAGTATAACTAATTAAAAAGTAAAAAGAAAAAAAATGCACTATTTGATGTGGAGAAGAAAGCACAAAGCTACTTTTTAAATTTAAGAACTATTTAACATTCTATTTAACATCAAAGCTGTCTATAGAAACCACTGTATTGCCTGTATTTTGGGTAATTTGACCATAATTAGCAATTTCTTTCTCATTCCAGAGGAAGAGGACAAATATAAAGAGCAGACAGAACTTCAAATATCTTGGCATTAGTGATAGAGATGGAATGCAAATGTTGAGAATAAACTATTTTTTGCTAACTGTCTCATAACTGAGAAAATGTGACATATATGCAATACAAACAAATCACAACACCAAATCCAGCAACGATTTGGAATCCTAAGGAAGCAATTTAAATACATATAAAGACAAAATTTTAAATACCTAATATATTGTTTCTTCAAAACACATAGCATTTAACATACTACCAAATATGAAATACATTTTTGCTATATCATTTTGAAGTAGTGAAAGGAAAGTAATACATTGAATAGAAAAAGTAGGGATTTTTTTTCTTACTATATTTTAAGATGACATATGTGTTTTAGAATTATTGAGACTTTTCAATTAAATGAATTTGACCAGTTATTCAATTTGGACTCAGTAATCCAAGAGGCTCGAAAAATTGGAGCCCCTATTTTCTTTCAGCCTTGTGTGTTTCTAGATTTCTGAAAATCTATTTTAATATTTTATGATATTATTTACATATAAATTTAAAAATAAAGCACCATATTGAAGGTTGATATATTAAATAAATTACTTTTTTCCTATTAGCTTTCCATTACAAGTCAAGTTTTTGAACTTATGATTTGTCTCCATTGCCCAAAGGTTGTAAATGCTTTTCCAGAAGGTTTTCAAAAATGTTTTTAATGCCTGCCTTTTTTACTGGATTCAGTTCAAAATTTCTAATGAGAAGCATACTTTAAATAGCCTTGATGCCACATTTTAATATGTTATTTTATTTTATTGCTCTTTCCAACTGAGAACACTTACAATCAACATATTTTTAGGAGTTTATATTGGTAATATTTTGTTGGTTCTTTGTTTCCTGTTATAATAGGCTTTCAAGGAGTAAGCAAATTTGCAGATTTCCCAAATAAACACATCCGTGTTGGGCAGTGTGGTATGAGGAAGGTTCGTGAAAGTAAGTAAATGCTTTCCGCAATACCCCTTTGTTGCATAGAAAATGAAGAAGATTGCCAATGAGTTTATTTTAGGGAGAAAACTAGTTTGAAATAAAACAAATTTATTATGTAAACCATGTTTTATTGTTAATTATGTTTGATTTTGGAGTAGCCTTTGCATTTATATATGAGGAAATAATGTCAGAAACTGAACTCTTATGTGTCAAAGTCGAATGTTATCACACACAAAATTAATAACTTTTTCTTATTTATATATTCACTTAAAATTGTTCTAATAAATTAAATCTCCATAGAGTTTCATTAAATGCACATGTTTAAGGTGGGTAACATAAACAATGCTATATTTAAAGTTTAGCAGCCTTGAGCATAACACAAATCCATGCTACTCCTATTTCCTTCATCCTTGCTTAGGAATGATATTTGGTCACCACTCCTACACAGATAGCTCAGTTTATTCACCCTGAGCTCTGGTCTCGGCTGTCCATCTGCCATCTATTTATTATTATTATTCCAGGTTCTTTTCTCTTCCTTCCTTCCTCCTCACCCACTCAACCAACCACCCACTGAAATCCTGAGTTCTGCTCTTCAGTAGTTTTTCAAGATTAGTACTTTCCCGCTCTTCCCTTCAGAAATACTTTGGCATGCTTATTGCTCCTCAGAGACCACTTGCTCACCTTAGCTCTACAACCATTCCACAGCCCCTACTTATCCCTACAGAGGTTCAGTCCTAGATTTGTTCCTCACTCTTCCATTTCCCCATTCTATAACAAAACATTTCTTTGGAAGTGCAGCCAAGAATCCCAAAAACCAAATTCAGTGAACCAGTGCAGTAAGACAGCTTTTGCAGATGAGAAATTTTGCAAAACTATGGTAACAGTGAAGTGCATATGGTCAGTGCCTAGCTGATTACATTTTCATTTGTAATGTGGAAGTACTGCCAACAAATTGAATGAAGCTTACTATGACAGAACACATTACTTAGAATTCCACACTGTTGCAAAGCGCTTCTGAATGACCCTCGATAATTGTGCTGTGAAGTTTGATATTGTGTACATCTTTAGACTCTATCAAGCACATGTCATAATAACAATAATGGAAGACAATACATTAAAAAGTGATGCTGCTATAAACATGCATGTGCAAGTATCTTTTTCATATAATGACTTCTTTTCCCCTGGGTAAAGAATGAAAAGTAGATCCACCATTTGATCCAGAAATCCCAATGGAATCCAGTGGGAATCCAGTAATTTCAGTGGGATTCCTGGATCAATTGGCAGATCAAACAGTGAATCTACTTTTCCTGCTTTAAGGAATCCCCACACTGTTTTCCATAGTGGTTGTATAATTTACCTTCCTGTCAACAGTATAAATATGTTCCCTTTTCACCACAAAAATATGGAACCAGGCCAAATGTCCATCAAGCAATGAGTGGATAAAGAAAATGTGGTATATATTTACCATGGAATACTACTCAGCTATAAAGACGAAGGAAATAATGGCATTCACAGCAACTCAGATGGAATCAGAGACTATTATTCTAAGTGAAGTAACTCAGGAATGGAAAAGCAAACATCATATGTTCTCACTCATGTGGGAGCTGAACTAAGAGGACACAAAGGCATAAGAATGATACACTGGACTTTAGGGACTCAGGGGTAAGGGTGAGGGGTGGTGGCAAGGGACAAAAGACTACACGCTGGGTACAGTGTACACTGCTTTGGTGATGGGTGCACCAGAATCTCAGAAATCAAAACTAAAGAACTTATTCATGTAACCAAACACTACCTGTTCCCCTAAAAACTATTGAAATAAGAAAATTAAAAACAAACAAACAAAAACCCTCTCATCCCCAACAGCCAAATGTAATGGATGGATCTTGTTTGGATTCTGACTGCTACCCCCATAAAAATTAAAAATTTTTTTTTTTTTGAGACGGAGTTTCACTCGTTACCCAGGCTGGAGTGCAATGGCGCAATCTCAGCTCACCGCAACCTCCGCCTCCTGGGTTCAGGCAATTCTCCTGCCTCAGCCTCCCGAAAAATTAAAATTTTTATTAAAAACCGGATGATAAATACAAAAGGGAATGCTATAGCCATCACTTTCTAAACTTTTTTAAAATTAGAAAGAAGTGAATAAATGTACTTCCAATCATACCATATCATTTTAAAAATATGGCTTCAGATTTTCTCCACTTAAATTGCAAAGTAAACCATTATTAACTTTTATATCCTGTAAAATGTACTATTTTATTCCTATATTTATTCTTTTAATAAATATTTACTGAATATGTACTATGTACCAAACACAGTTCAACATAAATTAACAAAAAGTCCTCATTTGCAACTTACCATGGGCCATACGATGGAACCAGTAGTAGCCAAAGTCAACTCCCAAGAAGGTTAAAGACCAAGTCCATGGAGAATCCCAGGGCAAATTGAACAGCCTGTAGTTCTCCCAGATATAAATATAACTGGTCAGTTCAACACTCCTGAAAAATAGACTGGAAGACAAAATTCATAAGCAGTGATTAGATAACATTTTAGAAATAAAATTATGCTAAAATAGTTTAGATAACATTTAAAATTAATATATTTATATGAAAAAATGAAACTCTTCTACTTTGTTTCATCTTTATCATTCTTTCTAAAGGCTCAATTCCTTGGCATCAAAATGATTCATATGAAGTTTTATTTTATTTCATAGACATCATGGATGCCAGTTGTTTGTGCTCTCAATTTCATGAAATTTAAAAGACCATTTCCTTTTTATGTATCTTAAAATATTTTTCATGGAACCCATACAACATCAATATAACAAGACTACAACTTAGTTTCTGTGACTGTCATTTCTAAATCTTACGGAAGAATATATTAAGGATGCTTTATAAAGGAAATTTAAAAGGCAAAAAATTATAGATGCCCATATTTTAAAGTGCTGCAAATTGCCTACTGCCTTCAAATTCTTGATCTCATAAAATTTGCCTTTAAGTTAAATTGCTTCTCTCCAAATCTATTCTCTCTCATCTCCTCTTCCTCCTTCCTTTTTATTCTCTCTTACACACACACACACACACACACCCTTTTAATGTTTCTTACATGTTATACTTATGATCAGGTATTGGATTCTCAGAGCATTTCTACAATTCTTATAAGTAATATAAACTAAATTCTTATAAGTAATATATTACTTAAAAGTAATATAATTTTCGGCCGGGCGCGGTGGCTCACGCCTGTAATCCCAGCACTTTGGGAGTCCGAGGTGGGTGGATCATGAGGTCAAGAGATCAAGACCATCTTGGTCAACATGGTGAGACCCCATCTCTACTAAAGATACAAAAAATTAGCTGGGCATGGTGGCGCGTGCCTGCAATCCCAGCTATTCGGGAGGCTGAGGCAGGAGAATTGCCTGAACCCAGGAGGCGGAGGTTGCGGTGAGCCGAGATTGCGCCATTGCACTCCAGCCTGGGTCACAAGAACGAAACTCTGTCTCAAAAAAAAAAAAAAAAGTAATATAATTTTCAAAATATTAGGAAAAATATTTCCTTAGAAATCAGGTATACAAACAAAATTAAAATAAACAATTGTTTCTAAAACTCATACACTAAAATATATTAAGCCACCTATTTATCAAGCTTCTATAAATTCCTATTTTTACTTTCAAAACCCTATAAAATATACTTTAACTTTAAGAAGGATTTTTTTTCAAGTTTTGTATGATCAAATTTAAGATTAGATTCTAGATGATTTGTCACTTTTATAAATTTTATTGAGTTGACTTTTCCTTTGATATTTATTATTAAAATATAAAAGGAATTAATTATTCTGGTTAATAAAGATATATGTATAAGTCATCAACAAGTGTGGTGCTCAAAATTCTGAGAAATTTCTTAAATATTCTAATTTTAGATAAGAGTGGAAGAAGGAATGCAGATGATTACACTACTAAAATTTTTTATTTTTACAGTATTTCCCTTTACAGAGTCAGTTTCTATGAATTAGCTTCCTGAGTCTTTCAAAGATCCAGCCCTTTGACTTTATTCTTGAATTTATTATCATATGACTTTAACCATGATTTAATAGCTTTAAAATAACCTCTTTAATATTTCAAGGTATTATTATTTCACCTATAAAATAGAACATTAGGCTATCTTAACAGCATTAATATACATAACTAAAAGAAATGCCCAATGCTTACAATTTCAGAAAACAGTTCACATCACCACACATTAAAAACTCAATTTCCAATTTGAGATTAAATGGTTGGAAGAAGCAGTTTTGTCTGTGAGTTCCAGTCCTTGAGTCAAAGGAATTGCTCATCCTGGACTACTCCCATAATGCCAATTTGAGTGATACTCTGAATACTGTAGAATCCACTGTTGCAGCAGCCCTGAGCCTGCTCGAGCCTCTTTTCTGAGCCATTCTTCCTGAGGGCAGACCTCTGCAAGTGTGCAACCCCGCAACCTGACAGGGTGGCCAAGGGTGGCTAGTTGGGGGCATATAGACAAAGCTGGGACAAGGAGTCTGTGATGTCCACACAGGTATGTGAGGTCCCTCCAGGGGCAGGACAAGCCATGAGCCAAGGGCTCCCACACTGTTGTAGAAACTCCAAGGAGTATATGAAATGAACATTTAAAACCTGCCTTCCAAGTTTTTATGAAGGTATATTAGTCAAAGTAGGAGTTGGAAAAAATTCTACTGTAAAGCTTGTTAGCTTGGTGGGTTACTTTCATATGTTTAGATGAAGGCTTCATAACAGTGCCACTGTTGACATTTGGATAGGATAATCCTTTTTTGGAAGAGGCTTTTGTGTGCAAACATTTACTGAAACTATGAAATCTTAAAATTGCTCCCTATTGTTCATCATTACAGGTTACCCATATAAAATTCAAGTTTTAGATTAAAAATGGCAAATAATATCAATTTTATATTCTTCAATATACCAATTTCTCTAAAACAGGAATTCTTAATCGTAACACTATTGTCATTTTTGGGCCAAGTAACTTTTTGTTTCGAGTGCCTTTCCTGTGCATCATAGAATGTATTCCAGCATTGCTGTTCTTTAGCAACTAGATTTAGGAGCATTCCTTCTCACCCCAGCTATGACTACAAAAAATGTCCCCAGATATTTCCAAGTGTTTCTTGGGGAGCAAAATTTTCCCCAGTTGAAAACCTCTGCCTAAAAACAACTGAACCAGAAAGAAAGATTAAAACAAAATTTAGTAGAAAGTTGAAATCATCTATAGCTTAATAGCTGAAGTAGTAGCACATGATTCATCCATGGATTTAGGCAGTCATTCAATGAATTCATATGAAGAGCCTACTAAGTGCCAGGCATAGCACAAGACACAGGAACACACTATTATTAAATGGGCAAACACCACCAGCCTTATATAAATGTGCCCTCGGTTTAATATTTTTTTTTAAATATGCTATCTTCCTTGTCAGTTCCACTGACAATGGAAATGGGCATTAAGATACCAAGATCTCAATAACAGACTGAAAAGGTCCTTAAAAAACTTCCATTTGTAAAAAAAAAATAATAATAAATAAAAATTCTAAAAAACCTGTCTGCAATTGAAATACTTTTCTATTTCCTGTACAGGTGCCAGGTCTTGAGCAGACACCCAATTTATTAGTCCATCAACTGACTTATTAGGATTGACACAAACCGAGCTGAAATATGCCTGACATACTACCATCAAGCCTCCCCCCACTCCAACCCACACATATTAGCATGAAGCCTAAATTTCCTCAAGACACGAAGAAAGAAGCAGCTGTGGGAGTTCTATTCCCTGCTTTCTATCAGCAAAATGAATCTGATTCTCTTTTAATACACATGTGAAAGAGTAGCCATGGAATGCCCACAACTAAAAACAGTTCACCTAAGTGAGACAGCTGGGAAATGATTATCAAGCTCGGAGAGCCCCGGATTGCAGAAAATAGCACCTACATTTTCAAAAATGTTCTCACCAGACCTTGAATCATAAACCAAGTACCTTCCTGTTTCTCTTCGCAGTCCCCCTTACCCCTTCCACCCTGCAATCTCAGCACATGACTCTGCACTCGGGAATTTAAACTCTCTAAACCCCATCCTGTGGGAAAAGGCAGATATAATATGTATGCATATAGTAAGTTTACTTTATCACATGAAGATGGAATATTGGGCAGCACAGGAGCTTGGAATTCCCAAATACTAGACACCTTTTATGCCATAAGTTTGAATGTAAGACCAGGAAAGTGATCTAAACATAAAAAGACATTAAAATCCTCTAATCAGCAACCTGCATATAGAGAGGCTTTCCTCCCATGGTCCTATTTTCTTCATGAATTCCCCCAAACAGCAGTTTTCCCTTGGGTTTGAAGTATATGTTTTAGCAAATGAAAAGTAGCTTATTTCTTTAACTAGTGAACTGATTCTGTATTTTACATAACATTTCCTCTCATCATGAGAAATTTGCCAATGTTCAGTTACTGTAAAAAGCTTCTAAGTTACTACATTACTATTTAGTATTAATCCTCGAATTTTTATAAAATAAAGTTCAGTTTCAATGTTGAGATTAAAAAATAATCAATAAATTAGAAATAAATATTATTTGGGGATTGAGAATTAGAAACTAATGAGTTTTCAAAGTCACCTCCATCTGAGTCTGCCCATCACCAGGAATAGAAGTGTGACAGGGGGCATGACATTCACCCTTTCAGCATCTCAGTGCTAATTTAAGGTCTGAGATAATCAGGCTGAATGAGCCCTAAAATGACTCTCATGTTGTTGTCATTAAGAAAGCCAGTAACATTTCATGTAATGCTCTCATTGCAAACTTCTGAAATATCAAAGCACGTTTCAGAATAAGTAGACTTATGTACTACACTCATAGGAATCTGCCACTTTATATTATTCCATAACTGTCATTATAGCTGAGTGTTCTGATTTGGCCAGATAATGATAAACTAAAAAAAAAAAGATACTTTTATTTCTAACAATCTTGTTTCATGAGTCAGAAAGTAAATATTTAAACAAGATTACTATAAATATCCTTAAAACTCCAAGAAGTTAAAAATAAATTAATATATTAGATCTTGTGTATATATATATATATATATATATGTGTGTGTGTGTGTGTATATATGTGTGTCTGTGTGTGTGTGTGTATATATATATATATGCAGAGAGTGAGAGAGAGATTTTTCTGAGAAATTTTGTTACTTATTTACTTCAAAATCTCTTCAACTGGAATCCAGGAGTTTGCACTGCCCATCTGTAAAGCTACTGCCACTTTTGCTCCATCTAGTGGAATATTGATTTTTGCTTGGTAATAATAAGATAGATAATATTACCTTTACCATCTGCAAACAGATGTACTACTAATTCTTACTGTGAAATTGTATTACATTTATAAAACAATCACTTAATTTCTTCTTAACAGAAACCATAAAGCCATAAACCTTTATAAACACAATGTGATAGATTTGGAAGAAAGGAATTTGCTATATTCTTTACTTTACAGGAAATATATTACTCGATTGAATAAACACTCAAATCCAGACCAATAAGCAATGAAACTTGCATTCACCAGGGAAGGTTCTTCTAATAGCAGTTTCTGAAGTTACATAATTAATAACAAAGATAAAGTCTATTTATTAGTTTTCTAATGCAAATTATAAGAGGAAATAAGATCCTCTCAAACATAATTAACAAACCAAGAAGTAATTAAAATTTATTTTCCTTTCATGAGGATTTTTAATAATTATTTCTAGGTTAATAAAAATTTAGTATTAATAATAAGGTATTATTAACATTTCATAGATTCATTTATCTCTTCTTTTGGACAATGAATTGCTGCTTATTAAAGTCATCATCCTAAATGCTAAACATTCATTTGTTAGGTCTGATTTGCCAAGGCAACATTTAGCCTCTCATGCTAAAGCCCCTGGTATAAAAACCCAGTATACAATTTTTCTTTATTCTCTGGCCCCACCCCAAGGAGTCAGAAGTATTTCAGCGAAGTTTAATTTCCTCCTTTTAATTTTTTTTTTTTTTTGGATGAATTGAAACTTTCTTGTCAGGAGTGGAAAATTCCATAGCAGGCATGGCCAGTAAAAGTATGCATATATATGACTGAACATCGTGGAGCTAGCTACACAGTAAAAATTGGCAGTGACCCATATATATTAAAAGTGGAGTGTCCCCAACTTTATTTGAAAATTTACCTACTTAAATTATCCCTCTAACTTACTGCAATTTGATTTATAATCTGCTGTTTCAACAGAATAAATGAACCCATTAAAAACAAACATACTGTAGATATTTATATCAGGAATAAAACTTCTCTGGGGAGGATGCAATTTATGGAAGCAGAAACATTGGAAGGAAGTAACAAATTGAACTCCCGGTTTTCTAATGAAGGATTGGAAATTGAGTTCTGCTTAAACAAGCAGAAAAAAAAAATGTGATTATTTTTCACTCATTAACATTTAAGTCAGTAGCTGCATATTTCACAAGTTTTAGATATGTGTGATTAAAAATTAGATTTGGTAAATATTTTGTTAAATCAAGATTAACTTTTTTATAGTCACACATGACACTAATTGTTAGAAAGGCAGATTATCTGCATGATACACTGTGTTTAACTAGAATAAATAGACATATCTGTTTATAACTTTGACTAGTATCTGACTAGGAAGGCTGCCTACTGGATTTCAGAAGAGCAAAACAGATCCAAGCCTGCCCAGAAACTGGTTCTTAGGACAGACGGACTTTCATTACAGATCATGGTCCGTCCAACAGGCTTGTAAACAAGATATAATCTTGTCCATGGTTAATATTTTCCTTGACATAAAGATTTGAAAAAGGTAGCATGTGTCTTTTCTATCAACATGATAAGTATGCTATTAATCTTTAAGACACCTGAAATTTTATGTAATCCTGAAATTAAGATCGTGGAAAAAAAGTGTTCTTCAAAGTCTGCACACAACATTTCTATTACATGAATGGCAAAGTGGAAAACGGGTTTGCTTTGATTTCCACTTTTTTTGTCCGAGGCCACATGCTTATTTGGAATTATTATCCAACGCATAATTCTTCACAAATGAATGAGCAAAAGGCATACTACCATTTTTCTTGCAATCACCTATTTGAAGGACGTGGCAAGCCTCTGTTGCTGGTGTAGAAAATGAAATTGGTCCCTGGGAGAGGATACGATCATTGCCGTGTTAATCTAACCCTCAGCTGTTAATGATTTGCACAGGGATTCCCCTTGATGCTGTGGCTTCAACTGAAATATTGTTTTAAGAATTGATGTCAAATTCTTCCTTTTTTTTTTTTTTTTTTTTTTTACTGAAAGGGGATTGAGAGGAATAGATCCACAGGCTTCCTTTTTCTTTCCAGTTTATATTTGGGTTTAGAATGTTTTAATAACAACAAATGAAATAAAAACATTTTTCAAAATATTTCTATACAACAAAACAAAAAAATTAATTTCATTTCAGATAATTTGCTTTACTGGAATCTTTCAGACAAGGCTATAAAAGAGAAAATTCTTCACGAAAGTTAAAAAAAAATCCGTATTTCATCATTTATAATTGTTCTTTACATCTACAAGGAAAAACAGAAGTAATTTGCTATTCTCATTTCAAATAACTATAGAAAAATATTCTCCAAATTCAAGTTCATAACCTTTTACCTTTCTCTCAAAGGGCACCAGAGTTAACAGTTTGTGTTTGTTTAAGGAGTGTTATGAGTAGTGGGTGAAGGAAAAGAACCGCATGTTCTATCCCTGAAGGACTGGTTTGTTTTGCTTTCTTTTTTTCCTTCTCTCTCTCTCTCTCTCTCTCTCTCTCTGCCTCTCTCTCTCTCTCCGCCCCGCCCCCCACCTTTCTCTCTCCATTTTCAGATACTTTTTTTGGAGAAATATCTATTTTATTCTTATTTTCATGTTATAACTCTGTACCTTTTAAAAATAACACTGCTGAGCAGAAATATTGTACTGAGGATACAGTTTGTACTTCTGGTACTCACGATGTTATGATAAGAGAACAATCTAATTTCATTTGCAACCAAATCAAACTTTAAAAGGTAAAAACAAAAATGCTGAAGAATTCATTCAATTTGCTGTCAAATTCATTGTCAAAATGCTTAACAAATTCATTCCAATTCACTAAAATACACGACGTATAATCGGATATGCAGGATAATTCTCAGTTACCAAGTGACTTTTATAGTTTATCAATCATCTGATTTCCATAAACCTATAAACAACTTTCTGCAAATGAGCTAAATTAACCATTAGGTATTTTTAAATAACTAAATCTACATCCAAATCTATATATACCTTGGATATGTTGAATGTATTTCTTGTTGATTTCTGCCTAAAGGGGACATGTATTATAAGAAAGGAAATTATCTATAATCGTAAATTCTTATTCATGATAATCTTGGAATTAGCTGCAAATTTCTGGAGACATTATCTCCCTCTGATTCCCAGTGCAAAATGCAACAATTATAAGTAATTTTTCAAAGTCAGTATTAGTAATATTACATCTACTATATACTTAATAATATACTTTTCTCAAAATCTTATTGAAAAATACTTTCAGGTTTTTCTTTTTAAACTATTTTATGTAATATATGAAATTATTCCACCTTTCTTAGATGTTTAAAGTTTTAATGCTATTTTTTTTAATCCACCTTAGTTTCCCACTGAGCAGTTAATAGAAACATTCCAAAGCAATGAGCACTGGTCAGAAGTAAAGCTCTTAAAACAGGACAAGAAGCAATGGGTGGGAAGCTGGAATGAGAACATTCATCAGCAGCTCAAAGAACAGACTTCGAAGGGAATCTTTCCTCACCCTCTGCCTCTTTGGTAAGCCCACATGCTTTGAAGATGACTTCCTTTTATTGGTCTCTCCTCTACATGCATTAAAATATACTCTTTCTACAAAATAGTAGGCCATTTACATCTTACTATCATTTGGTCCCAATATCATCTAATTTTATCGTCAACATAACAGTATAGGAACATCACTGTTTTTTGGACTCTTTATCATGCAATAGACATCATTCCAGGCACAGGAGCTAAAACTATGAAGAGTGCACAACTCTTTCTCTCAAATCGTGTACAAGCTAGCAGGAAGGGCTGGGAAGAAAAGAGGTGAGCATCGATGCCATGTTGAAAATTCTAGATCTGGGATAAGCACAAAATTCCATGGGACTATAATGTAGGAATGCCTAACATAAGCTTAGAGAACAGATAAGGCTTGCTGAGGCATGTGACATCTACGCTTAGACCTAATAAATGAATCTCAATTGGCCACATGGATGATTTTCCAGGAAGAGTGAAGTACCTGTGGCATGTGGGCAATGGCAAGTAGTAAAGCATGATGGGATAAAGATGACAGACAGGAGAGTGGAGGACCCAAAAGCAAAGCCAGAGAGACCACGTTCTCTATAGTTCTGAACAGGGATTTGTACATTATACTTGAGTCAACAGGGAACCAGTGAAGGGTTTCTACTGGATTCATATTATGGAAATGTTTGGCTGCAAATGGGGTTCTACTAGAGCCAGACACCCATTAGGAAACCATTGTAGTTATTCAGAGATTTGTGTGAGCTGATCTAGGGAGTGTCTACACTCTAGAGAGCTATTCTTTCTGAACCTGACAGAGGCAAATACAATTTTAATAGGGAACTAGATCATAACTCAGAGCTAGAATCACAATAAGGCAAATGAAACACTCATTTTAAAGGGATATCAACAAAGTCAAGATAAATAATATTTAGGGTAATTTTTTAAATGAGTGCAAAAAATCAATGAAGAATAAAATATCAAAATTTTAAATAATAGCATGAACTGAATTCCTCAGGGAAATTTGTGTAAATAGACTAATTCCCCCATGCAGTGGGTTTCTTTGTCCAACATATGTAGGGAATTTCAGCGTTTTCACTCAGCATTGTTAACCCATCTATCTCACCCTGGAAGTCGTGACAGAACACCTGCTGAGACTGATGTTAAAGCATCATCCAAATGACCCGGTGGCTTCCCTTTGTGAATCCAGCTGACAACAAGTTCAAGCAGCATCAAGGAAATGAAAAATGGAGTTGCCTAGAAAAGATATTGCAGAAAAGAGATGCTATTATGTTCCATATGAAATTATTTTACATTTCCTGATTAGTCATGTCAGAATTGAGAGGCCCAGATTTGGGAAGCCCCACAGGAGATGGAGATGGTAGATACCCATTCTGGAAGATTAGTTCCTACACAGCAGGCAGAGAAGTCTAACTGTTTTAGACATACGCTAAATATGTGCTCAAATTATATCATCCAATTTGAATATGAAATATAATCATAGATATGACCATGATAATTATAAAATTATAAGATTGGGAGGAACATCTTCCAAATTACATTAAAAAATAAATTTAGAATAAGGCAAAAAATTAGAAGTCTATTGTCTCTATATGTATAATCTAGATCCACTTCAAGAGGCTTTCCTTAAAGATGCACAAAATTCTAATTTTTGTGCTAGAATTACAAGAACTGTATTTCTAATGATTAAATTGAAAGAGTAGAGACAATTTTCTTCTTAGAATTTTAGAAAATATGGTGATTTTACATGTTTGCTTAAAACATGATTCAGATTTTATTCATTTTGTTTTGATTTGTTTCACATAATAAGTGATGCTTTAAGGCTCCACTATTAATGATGGAGCATTTAATTTGGTTTGGTGTTGCAGTACAAGCAATAACAATTTATGAAGATATCAGTGCCACTTTTTCTACTTAAAAATAAGAAAGAAAATATAATATCTAATCTTGAAAAAGATACGGATTTTACTTATTTGGAAGCTAATCATGAGGTTTGAAGCTTTCTAAATTGAACTCTCAATAACACAGTGTGTGATGTCAATTTTGTTTTCTATTTCCCCCCTGAACTAGTGAGTGTTGTAGGAACAACTTTGATAGGCTGGGGAACTTCAGGATTCAAGTTCTAATTCTGGATATTTCCACTTTCAATCATAGCCAAGAACCAGAAGTGAAATGTACCTCTGAGCACTTCAAAGTTTCAAAGAAAACTTGGTTCACATTCAAACTTAGGAAGTCAGAGTTGGACCTGGTCAAGCTGCATATCCTTCACTCTGCAGAACTACTCCACCAAATGAAAGAAGAAATAGTTTCCTTGGAAGGGGTGGACAAGCTAAAGATTTAAAAATGAAATTGTTACAAACTTTACCGATATGGTATAACTATTTGACATTGAGTTTCCAACAGCTACATTTACAATGCCACAGAGTCCAGGAAAATGTTAAGATTTTGTTTTTATGATATTCTAGAGTGACATATAAAGGAGCGAATTTACAGGTGAGGATGCTATGGATTGTAAGGAAATTCAATTCAAGTAGATATTCTAATTTTGCTTCCTGCCTTTAAGAAAGTGAATTATTATTAGAATTTAATAATTCAAATAATGAAAGTGAACAAAACGCTCAAGAGGTTGACCTTACCATTTCTTAAGAAAGAAGCAAAAGTAGCCTCTTCCAATATAGTCTCACCTTTTTTACATAATCAGGCACCTCTTCTAATGTTTGGAATGAAGTTTCACTGGGCTTCATCATGTAAAACATCACACGAAATCCCTGGGAAACTGAAACCTCCTGTCGGGCTTCTGTGTTCTTCATTTCTGCCCTTGTCTGATTCCCAGCTGGAGAATATTTGGGATTCAGCGGTTGAAGCCAGAGGCTGAACAAAGAGGACGAGATGTGCAGCTCAGAACAAGCTCTTTGTCAGAGAACAGCTAAAACCAAAGCTCCATTGAGAGCACAGCCAACAGCAGATTCTGTATAGAAAGACAGAAAGTACAAGGCTCAAGAACAAGTACAGAGTTCAGTGGCCGCTAGGCCAGAAACAGGGCATGTGGGGGAGGGAAAAAAGGACTCATAGCCAAATCTAAGTCATACAATGCAGTTTGACTGTAGGTGGAGCAAGTTACTACTAAAAAAAAAGAAGAGAAAAAAATCGCAATAGTGTCTTGGAAAGAAAAAAAAGTGATAACACAGGTATAAGGTCACGCTGAGAAAGTGGATGGAAATTCAAGCATCAAATCACATAGAAAAAAATTTTCTCTCCTCATTTAAAAATTCACAACGTGTTCAAGTTTGTAGTCTCTTTATCTCCTGCAGGGACAGGCTATAGGTGTGCTACTTAATAACAGCTTGAAAGTCAGCAAGCACTGAATATCTGGGTCCTTAGTGGCTATCTACATTTCTGTATCTGAATCATGTTATTACAACTTCTGAATGTTTGAAAACCAGTTTAGAGGCATTTGGCTTATTATATAGTCTAGATTTTTTAGTGGAAACTTGGCTAGTCATATCTGTATTCTTCTTAATACTTATGGGGACTTTCTGATTAAAGAAGATGCCAAGATGTTGCTGAGACCTATTTCTGTTTCACAGAAAGAGCATAAGTGATTGTGCCTTTTAAGTAGATTTGAGGGCACTTAATTTATTACATTACCAGTGAATGTATGGAGCTTGCCAGAACAGCCTCAGCCCTTTACCCAGAATAGCTGTAATCATCCTTTAGGTGCCATCTCATCTGTTAAAGATGTTTACATAGATCTAATTAAATTATGAGAACACATGGACATAGGGAGGAGAACATCACACACTGGGGCCTGTCTGGGGGTGGGGGCTGGGGGAGGGAATGCATTAGGAGAAATATCTAACGTAAATGATGGGTTGATGGGTGCAGCAAATCACCATGGCTCATGTGTACCTATGTAACCAACCTGCACGTTCTGCAAATGTACCCCAGAACTTAAAGTATAATAAATAAATACAAAAAAAGAGAAAAATATAGAAACTATAGATAAGCAATAATAACTGCCAACATCTTGGTACATGTACAGTCAGTTTTGCTATAATACGACATACACATTCCTAAAAATCACCATACTGTACAAAATTGTGCAGTGAAAACCACAGGACTTTTGAGAAAAATGTAATTACAGTAAAATACTCCAAAACTTCATAATCACTCACAAGGAACAAAAAAAAGATCAGAGTCTAACAAAAACGGTAGCACACTTTTACACATTACATGGTTAAGACATACATAAACACTAAAATGAATATGGTGTTTTACCTTGAAAAAGACCTGAAACTCATTTTTAAAATTATGCATTGGAAGATTTGCAAATGGCAAGTTACTTTAGCTTGTTGAAATACGGGTTATCTGACATCAGAGAGAAAGTTCTAATATGACACATGGGTGCCATGGCCCACAACACACAGGGTGCCGCCGTAAGTGATACGTGCATGTTGTGCATCCTAAGCCTTGCCCCTTTTCAGTTCAGTCTTTTAAAGTTCACCTACAGTTTTTCACTGAATAAAGTCACACATGAGCATAGGTAGTATGCTCAAATTATTTTCTAGTATATTAATCACATTGGAACAAATTTAATCTCAAAGCACATATTACAGCAGCACTGACTGACCTTTCAGACCATTCCCATTACAAATAAATACATATCATTATTCATTTTTAATAAAAGTGGCTGGGCATTGTGGTTAACACCTGTAATCTCAGCACTTTAGGAGGCTGAGATGAGCGAATCAACTGAGGTCAGGAATCTGAGACCAGCCTGGCCAACATGGTGAAACCCTGTCTCTATTAAAAATACAAAAATTAGCTGGGTGTGGTGGCAGCCACCTGTAACCCCAGCTACTAAGGAGGCTGAGGCAGGAGAATTCCTTGAACCTGAAAGGTGGAGGCTGCAGACAGCAGAGATCGCATCATTGCACTCCAGCCTGGGCAACAGAGCAAGACTCTGTCTCAAAAAAAATTTAATAAAAATGATCAAATTAGGCATAATGTTTTATTACCTGCTTTAAAAAAATTTTGGAAATTAACAATATGATATATTACAAGAGAAAAAAATCCAAACAAATTGGCTGTATATAAAGTAAAAAGTTTACAGCATCCTTTCTTCTCAATAAGTGTGCACACTTTCCCTTTCATTTCACAGGGATAACATATCCTCTTAGTGGCGTTTTTCCATATCTGTTTATCTTCACAAAGAGTGGTTATTATCATAGATCTAATTAAATTATGAGAACATATGTATACAAATACAATTCTATATACACATAATGGTTCAGTTTTTCAATGGACCATATCAAACATAAGATACAGCAACTTTCCTCTTGGAGTCAATAACTTATCAGGAACATTTTTTTTTTTCAGTATATGGTTTTATGGGTATATACTTTTTTTGTTTTTACTGGCTGCAAAAGTGTGTTTCTACACTTCAATCAGCAACACTAAATTATGTTTATCTTTTTAAAGCAGAGGCAATTTTATTCAAAAAGTTGTTACACAGATGATGGGAGAAGTAAAAAGCCAAGCAGGAAAAAAGACATAATCTAGAGATTAGTACCAACAGGAAGCCACCAGCATTGTTAAACTGCAGGAACAAATGAAGAAGGCAGAGAAGGGGCTGCACCTTCCATGGGAAATGCTCTTGCCAGACAAAGCATTTTTGTCCAGGGAAAGTTGGAACCACAACTGGCTTGTCTAACAAGAGCATTTCCCATGGAGCAAAGCCAATCAATTCCAGAAATAATACCCATGGCAGAGAGGGAAGGAAGGGAAGTACTATGGCTTCTCCCTTCTTGCTGCTGACCAATCTCTCAACGGTACTTCCCGTTAGGCTATGACATGGTTTGGATTTGTGTCCCTGCCCAAATCTCCAAGGCCAGAGGAGGGGCGTGGTGTTAGGTGATTGGATCATGGTGGTAGATTGCCCTCTTGCTGTTCTCCTGATAATAAGTGGATTCTCATGGGATTGGTTGTTTAAAAAGTGTGTAACACTGCCCTCTTCTCTTCCTCCTGCTCTGGTCATGAAAGACATGTCTGCTTGCCCTTCTACTGTGACTGAAAGTTACTTGAGGCCTCCCTGGCCATGTTTCCTGTACAGCCTGCAAAACTGTGAGCCAACTAAAACCCCTTTCTTTACAATTACTCCTTCAGGTAGATCTTTATAGCAGTGTGAGAATAGACTACCACAGACTAAATGAGTCAAAAGCCAGTTCAGAGAGAAGGCTAGAAAAAGCACCCAGCTGAAGATAATCTCTTACTACACAAACCACTGAAGGAGGAAGGGAGGGAGGAATCATTTTATGGAAAAAGTCAACCAAGAACCAGCACCCCATTTTAACTTATTTAATTACTCCTCTATTGTTGTGTATATTAATATAGTTTTCTATTTTTAACTAATAAATTAAATGCAGCAGCAAGCATTATAGTGTAATATATATTTTGCACATTTTTGTGTTACATAGATTCCTAGCAGTGGAATTATGCTACGAAGAGTATGTAAAATTTACACTTCAATAATTGCTGCCAAATTCACCTCCCAATTGCCTTTCCCTCCACACTCTTGCTAACACTGGCTCCTATTAATCTTTCATAATTTTTAGCCAATTAGTTAATGAAAAATTGGTATCTTATTTTAATTTGCATCTCCCAAATGACACTGAACATTGTTCAGTACGTTTATTAACTTTTTTTGGTTTTTAAAATAAAATTTATTTTTTAGTATGAGCTACACATTATTTTATTTCATTGTCATTGATTTATAGGCCATTTGTATTATAAATATATAATCTATATACAGTATATAGATTCCTGTATATGTGGCAAATATTTTCTCATTTCATTTTAACTAGTTATCTATATGTTGTCATAGTTCAATTGTAAGCTTGTGTGTGCTGTTATCCTTTGTTTTATTACTTCTGCTTTTGGATCTTGCTTAAGAACATTTTCCTTGCCAGAATTCTGTAAGAATAATCTTCAGATTTTATTACTGAAATATTTAAAGGATATCTGTTGTTTCTCTTATCTGGAATTTAGTTTTGCATATGGTATGTAGTAATTATTTGACTTTGTACCTTGCCTTTATGGATCACAGTTCTTCCCATATCTTTAGTCAGTCAATACTTTTCCTCCTATTCTATGTACCTGTACCATTTCCAGGCTCTCCATTCAGCTCTATGAATGTTTTTATCGAATGCTAGTACCATTTGTCTTCATTATTGTACCATCATAATAAATTCTGGTGACTTATAGAACAATTTCACATGCTTGAATTTTATTTCTAAAAAATATGAAGCTGTTTTCACACATTTGCTTGTGTAAGTGTTTAGACTAACCTTCAAAGAATCCTGTTGGCATTTTAATTGAAACTACATTAAATTCATGGATTACTATGGAAAGAATTGACATCAGAGGCACTCAACAAATTTGCTTGGAAGGAATGAACATATACACTAGGTCATTTAAACTTAATTCTATGACTAAATGATGTCAATGCTCACTTCTAATACTTCTATTCTTTATATCTTCCATTCTTGTACTGTTGTAGATTGTAAGTAGTTTTCAGGAGAGTACATGTATAACTGCTTATTTTACTAGAATTTTTTTCTTGCCTATATATGTCAAAGATAAGTTGGCTAAATATACATACACTTCTTGGTTCAAATAGTAATTCTTTCAAAATTAGGCTGGGCATGATGGCTCATGACCATAATCCCAGCACTTTGGGAGGCAGAGGCGGGTGGATCACCTGAGATCAGGAGTTCTAGACCAGCCTGGCCAACATGGTGAAACCCTGTCTCTAACAAAATATAAAAATTAGCCAGGTGTGGTGGTGGGCACCTGTAATCCCAGCTATTCAGGAAGCTGAAGCAGGAGAACCACCTGAACCTGGGAGGCAGAGGTTGTAGTGAGCCACCCAAATTGCACTTTTACACTCCAGCCTGGGGGATAAGAGCAAGACTACATCAAGAAAGGGAGGGAGGGAGGGAGGGAAGGAAGGAAGGAAGGAGA